TAATCAGATTTATATATACATATATAGTCGGTATATAGCCAATATATAGCTTATATTGGTTGATTGTATAATTATTGGACTTTCAGGTAGGAACAACATTGGCCCAATATGCGCTAGCAACATTAAGGCAATCTATTTTAGAAATATTACCCCAATATTTATTACCAATATTACCCCAATATTTATTACCAATATTGGGATTATATATTTTGCCAATATTGGCCCACAATTGTAAACCAATATTGGGCCTATATGTTTTGCCAATATTGGAGCAATATTCGCCACCCTATTTTGGGTTTCATTGGTCTGCCAATATTGGCGCAATATGTGCCGGCCTATTTTGGGTTTGATTGGTCTGCCAATATTGGCGCAATATTCGTTTCCAATGTGTGACCGTGAAAACCCTTAATTAACTACCAATATTGGTGCTATATAGCCACAATATTGGTACGCTGTTTCAACCCATCGTAGTAACCAATATTGCGCCAATATTGGCGCAATATTGTCGGGCCAATATAGGTTCTCTAGGCTCGGCAATATTGCCCAATATTGGCGCAATATTCCTTTCCAATGTAACCTAACGTTGGCTAAATAGTGGGACAATATTGTGCAATATCCCGCCAATATTGGCCGTATATTGGAAAGCGTTAACATTTTTTTCTAATTCCACTATTGTTGAATATTGGCGGCAACATCTGGCCAATATTGCGTCAATATAAATTTCTACTAGGGATTGGTTAGTTAGAAAAGAAGGTAGCCATTGTAAACTGAATATAAAGCATAAATATCTAATACCTCCACAAAAAATTGTTCTACCACCGTTTCATATAAAATTAGGATTGGTAAAAAACTTTATCAAGGCTTTAGATAAAACTAATGTAGCTTTTAAGCATTTGGGCTCCATTTTTTCTAATCTTGCTGCGGCGAAACTGAAAGAAGGTATTTTTATCGGACCGCAAATCAACAAAAATGTTGAAGGATGAGGTATTTGAAAACAGTCTTACTAATACTGAAAGATCTGCTTGGAATTCACTACGACTTGTTATAAAAGAGGTTTTAGGCAACAAAAAAAAATCAAATTACAGACAGTTAATTGCTGATTTATTACATAATTTTCAACGAATGCGTGTCAGCATGTCTCTGAAAATTCATTTCCTTCAATCGTACCTCGATTTCTTCCCTGAAAACCTCGGAGAAGTCAACGAGGAACATGTAGAGCGTTTTCATCAGGATTTGAAATTTTTTGAACAAAATTATCAAGGATACTGGGACCAAGCCATGTTAAGTGATTATTGCTGGTCTGTTATAAGAGACACAGACACAAATAAATACAAGCAAAATGTTAAGGCAAAACATTTTTAATTTTTTTTTTAATATTTTGGTAGGCATTTTTTTGTAAATCAAACGTACTAAATATTTTGGAAACGTGACGTGTTGGATTTTTTCATATTTTTTTTTTAAACTCAAGGCATCTCGAATGATAAGAAAAAACACTTTTCATTTCAAGGACAAAAACCATCTAACTAGTTTAATTGACCTTTTAGATTTAGAATTCGCCCCAGTTATAAGATTTTTCATTTGATTTAAAGTCATGTACAAGATTTTTCTATCACTATAAGCAAATAGCTTGGGAAAATATCACACACATAGTATATGAAATAGTCTAAAAAAGATTGAAGTTTGAATTAATAGGTAGACCTAACCTATTAAAGTAGGTTTCGAAACAGTCATAAGATTTTTTTAAAAGTTGGGAGAATGTGAATTTGATGTAAAACAAATTAGTTTTTGAAAAAAGTTTATAAAATCTGGACCTAAAGATTTTATAAAAGCCCATAATAAATTAAAATAGATTAATATCTAAAGGTGTAACGTGATAGTTGATATTTTATCTATTTGTTATAATGTGTTTAAGCTCAATTGATTGGGCGTGGGTTAGGTTATTCAATAACTCGAATAACTTTGAAAAAGAAGTTGGGCACCACTATATTTAAAACTTACTATACTTGACTTTAGATTAGTGATAAAAATATAGAAAATCACTAACCACTAACAAATTATATTTAAACCAAGCTTTAGATAAGGTAGTAGTAGATTTATTTAAAAGCACTTATCTTTAGTTAAAAGAAGGTAATATACGGAATGTTTATTGCAAGGTATATCTTCAGGCAACTTCTTCAAAGGGATTCGGTATCCATATTCGTAATTCTGCAACTTGAATGATCTCGTGATATTTGGTATTCTAACTTAACTCGAACCTGTCTAGATCTTCTAGAGATGAATCAAACCACGGTCTTCTATTTGTACCAAAACCAAAACAAACTTCTAGGTTTAAAAACCATAACACTTCTCGAAAGGAATTCAAAACTTCTTGGCAGGAATTCAAAACGTCTAGATATAAATCCAAATAAACCGTCTAGATATAGCCATGCTAAAAAGAAAGGGTTAAAATGTTAAGACAGGAAATAGGAAATTGAACAGGATTTAGATAAAATGCTTTAACGATTAAATGAACAATTTAAAACTATTAAATGAATAATTTCACAGGGACTAAAATTATTATAAAAAGGAAAAATCCAATTTAACATATTTAAACATAGTAAAGCATAATATCTTATTCCAAAAAAATAATTTATAAATTAATATAAAACCAACATGTGTTATCCATTGTTGATATTGAGGTTATATGTTCAATACTTGACAATCTATTTAAAAAGTCTTTGTACAAAATATATATTTTCAACAATATATTAGTATTAAAACTTACTTTATAAAATCAGACGGCTTTTACGATAGATTAAAATCATTTAGTACATCGTATGACCAAGATATATTAAAATTAAAATCAACTTGATTCGTTGACATCCAAGTCAAAAATAATTCTCACAAGGCAAATAAAGGAAAAAGAAGACGACAAATGACATTTAAGAGATGGTTGTGTCGGAATAACGGTTTTAACCGTTACAAAGGGTAATTTTAAGATTGATAAGTGGAAATATCAGTTACTTTCTTAGTTTTTGGGTTTAAATGAGATCAAACGTAAGATTTATTGTAATTTGATTTTCTGTACTCTTGTGTATTATCTTTCATTACTTATAACAAAATTTTTACTTTGTAATGATTTTCATATAGGAAGATAATAACAACGATAAGTGTACAATGTAAAATAATATGATAGATATGCTTTTGATGTTTAATAAAATTTTATAGACAAAAATTTCCTCTATTTGTATTTTTTTAAATTATAGTTTTAATTACCTTATGTAGGTATTTGTTTACTGTAATCCGATCAATAGAAACTATTTAACTACATCAATAGGGTTGCATTTGGCCAACCAGATTTATAAATAATACATCCAAATCCGAGCAACATTGGCGTCCAATCCTCTATTTGTCGGTTACTCAAACAAATCTCGTTTGTCCCATTCCTATCCAAAAATAGGTTCTATCTTGTAGTTGAGTCGAAGGTTGACTAGCGCCATTGATAGATAGACGGTGGACTTTAAATAGAAGCAACTATTTATATTCGAACGAATATAAGCGTATACAAAGTACACAATTTTCACAATATAAAGAAATGCAAAAGTTTAAAATGAAGTAATTTATGTTTTCACAGAAAATATTCACTAGTAATATCACTAGAAGTCAAATTATATCCGGGAAACCTTCAAGGTATAATTTGATGACCTAATGGCCTAAACTTTTAATTTACCAATTTTAGTAACAATCAACTGTCGGAAAACTAATGTTTGTTTGTGGGCCGTCAATCATTAATAACTGATGTTGGGGCCTTGCCCATCTCATGTGTTTGTGATTTTTAAGACCTCATAAATAAAATTTTAAATGAAATCTAAAAATGCAAGAAATACAAAAGAAAAGAAATAAGAGATTCTAGAATTTTTTATGAATGCTATTTTGTTGGTTCTGCAAAAGGTATTTTAAGTTTTATTATTCTTTTTTCAAAGTATATTTTTTGATGGAAACTGAAATAAAACGAGAGTAATAAAATAGTAGTTCAATTAGATTTTAAAATTAAAAATTACCGATTACTTAGCCAACTTTCCTATTTATTTTTTCCTATTAAAAAAAAAAAGAGTAATAATATTGTATTAGTAGTTCAAACTAGTTTTATCGAAATGTCATAATTGTATATAAATTTTATGATTTTCAGGTGTACTTTACTGCCACTCGAGTGGAGATTCTGTAGGCGATTAGACAGAAACAACTTTACCTATATATTTTTAAGCACAATTTAATATTTTTGATAAAAGCTTGATATGGGAATTAATATTAAGTTTTTATGTGAGGGAGTAAAAAAATACAATAAATGGAGGGGAAAGGGGACAAATGCTAGCAGTACGTAAAGGAGAGCAATAGGTGGGGGTAAAAGAAAAGGACGTAAAGCTTAAAAGGTTAGACGAGAAGTAATTGAGTCTTCCCAGTTCGTTCCAGGAAGAATGGGATCCATCTTCCAGCGGTACACTTCAAAGGTCACATATGGTTGTGACCAAAGCCATGGAAGTCATTCTTAGTCTCACTTCCCTTGATATTTACATCAAGGAGGTTGCTCTGACGAAAATGACACGCCTCCGCATGGTTGGAATAGAACCTGATGTAGGATCTGGTGAGGCGAGACGTCGCTTTTATAGCTAGTGTAATAATTATCTGTAGTTAAATTTCTTTTAGTTGCTCTACTAGTCTCTGCACAATATCGAATGGTTTATTTGATGTTTTAAAGGGCCCTTTACGTTGTTTTCCACAATATATTTCAAACTACCAAGTGTAATACGTTTTACTGTCACAGAGAGCATAAAATTTATTACCTATTTTGCAGGTTGTAGTGGCATGTACTGAACAAATCCGCATCGCCATCGGAATGGATGTAACATTTCGTCTATTGTAATAAACTATAATTTTCCAAGCAATTTTTGACAAAACCATTAAAAACCGTTCTTATCGCTGCTAATTTATCAGACTTCTCGCGTTCTTTTCTTGTTGTAACATTATCGAAACGAAGGGCACGAAGAAGAAACAAAAATATTTTGTAACTGGATGACGCTTTTAGCAGCATCATCTCTTAGCAGCATCATTCTAGTTCCATCTTTAGCCCAAAGTTCTTCAACATTTACTTGCTTTCCTTTTTTATGGAAATTATGAAAAGTGCTCCAAATAGTGCCAAAATTTCCTCTGAAGAAGTTAATTTGCAGTATCGGTCTCTTTGGTACACAAAATTTGCACGTTTATTTTCTATATAAATATTAGTGCAAAACACTATATGGTCCACTATATCGCTAGTCAAAAAAAGACGAAAAGAGTATTTTGCACATTTTTGGCTGCACCTTTTGCTCCAAATATTTTTAGCTTTGGTTTTGTTACCTTGATTCACAGGAGTGTTTTTCCAAATCGTCTCTTCATTTTTTCCAATATAAAAACGCTCATTTTCATTTGGACCAACAAATAAATCGATTTCTTCGCAAAACTCATCAGCGGACTGCCCCGACTCACTGTTGTAGCAATCTACTTCAACGGCTTCTTCTTTTCCTTCACTTTTACTCTCAAAGTCAACAATATCGTCGTCAAAATCAGACAAGTTGTCCGCGATGCTTTGTAGCTCTTTCTCAATAAGCGATTTTCTGAAGGCTCTTAAGTCCCTAAAAAATTAACAAGCTTAAATTTTTTATAAAAATATTCCCAAAAATGCGAATACATACAAAAATACCTATTATTTTATAAAGAATACAAGAAAAAAGTATCAAACACCGGTCGCGTTGCGGCACGGAATACCGCAGATCAGCACTGGTTACTTTGACGCCTCAAAACGAACTAACAGAAACACAACAACAAAAGCCAGTGTTGCCAGACTTCAAAAAGAGAATTATCGCATAAACCGTTTAAAATTATCGTACATTATCGTACAAAATAACGAAACTTATTAAAAAAGTTTTTTAATATAATTTAAAAAAAAAGAGTAATTAAAAGAGAAAGAAAAATATTTTATTTTTTTATCTTTATATTAAATAAAAACATCGAACTTTCTGTAAACATAAAATAATAATTTTCTTTGTACTAAAAGGATAAAAGCTAAAACAAATAAAAATAAAAGAAAACAAAAACGTTTAAATTTCATCATCGTTTTGGAAATTCTGGTTCTGGTAGAGTTTGGCAGACGTCATGCTTCTTAAAATTTTGTCACTGGGTTTAAAATTCAAACAGTCTTGTTCTAGATGGACCTGCTGAGACGATAACATATGTCCATTTACCGTATTAGTTATTAATCTGTTTCTTAATTTGGTTTTTATTAAATTTACCTTTGAAAATTGTCTTTCCCAACTGGCACTTGAATGTGGTAGTGAGAGAACACTTAAAACAAAATTACACAAATCTGGAAATATAAGTTCTCCATTATAGTCTGTTGCTTGACTTAGTTTATGAAAAAACTCATCGATTTCCGTGGATTCCGGTAAATCCTCAAAGTGTTTTAATTTTCTCCACTGGTCGTCAATTTTTTGTAGTTGCGTGGTGTTTTGGGGGTCACAAATTTGTGGTAAAGATGTTATTAGCGGTAAAAGTGTATCATCATTGCCTTTTTTTATATTCTGGATATTTAAAATGGAAAGCTTACTTAAGACGGGATCTTCAAAATTATAACGTTTCTTCATTTCCAGACAAGCCGTAATTAAAAATTTACGACAGCGTTCAAAAAAGTGAGTTTTAGTTCGCTGGTCTAAACAATCTATTTTCTGAAGGACTCCAACACTGAGATACACGTTTGTAATTGGAAGAAAGTGTGTGATATCAGTTGGATTAATTTTTCTTATGTCTGTTCTGTTAATATAATTTGGTTTCATAAAAGCTGTTAAGAAATCTCTGTAACATATAACCGTCTTATTGTGTAGGTGTGAAATGACTACTTTTCACTTTGGAAGATTTTGTTTAAGTCGACAAATTTGGGAAGAACCCATTCCAAAAAAATATAAAACAATCAAAATTTTTATATCAGTTTACCATTTAGACTTGTCATTAACCATAAAAATATATTAAGCAAAATTAAAAATATAGTGGATTGTGATGAATACATCATTACCATAGGTTTTCGCATTAGTTTCTTTTTCTAAATGTAAATTATCGTATAAAATGCCATTATCGCATAGCTACTATCGTACATCGTACGTTCGTTAAATTTATCGTACAAAATCGATAATTATCGTACATCTGACAACACTGACAAAAGCCGTGTATGCTAGACGCTTCTAAAAATAGACATGATAACATACCTAAACGGCCAGGAGCGTGAGGCAAATATACTGAGAGAAAAATTCATTAATTTTAAATTGCGACACGCAGTACCGCTGCGCGACCGGCGAAGGGTTAATGAAAACAGAGTCTTGTTCTTCGGATGCCCCGTGGATCGTTTATCTACTGTTTAAGCTAAGTAATTTTTCATTTATATAACTTTAGTGTGGTCTTTAGCATAGACTCATAGGTTTTTGTTTTGGCTCCAACGAATTACATTTGGTTATTATCAGTAACTTTAATTCTATATCATTTTAGTGATTCGTTTGGGTTGAAATCCTATTTAAATTTGATGTAATCTGTTAAACTTTATCAATGTCCATGTATAGGCTTGATAATTTTTTTTTATAATTTAATAAGTTGCAACTTATATAACATATAAGAAGTCCTCGATGTTATAACGTTGACTTGATTCTTAACTTTGCATTTATTTAGGTAAGTTATATTTTGTTATTTTGGCTTTAACCTAGTTAAATTTAACTGTCATCATTCTAAATAACTTATCTATTTACAGCATTCATTGTAATATTTTACTTGTAAGCTGCTATATGATCCTTTGTATAGGACTTATTGTATTCGACGTATTCACTCAACTAATGTATAAATATTATAATATGTATATATTTTGTAATTATTTTCTGTAACGAGAACTAGTCAGTTCTATCTTTGTGACTTTCATGTCTCTTAAGTTTTAAAAAGTTTAAAATAAATTTGATTGATTTGCACAGTTATTATAGTTTTATTTATATTTAGGTATTGGAAAACTTAAATTCTGGCCCGACCTTTAGTACACCAACTAAAGTTAGGAGAACCCAAGAACCCATTGCATAGTCTAATGATCACAGCTACCTATACAGCAAAATAACCGGTAGCATACAAGGAACTGCAGAGTTGCCAGGGAGTTCTTAAGTTATCCTGCCAACACTGCAGCAAACAAATACTTGACTATGACTAGACAGAATCTGCGCCTAGTCACAGGCATTCTGGCTGGTCATTGCCAAGTACGAAAGCATGTCCATATCATGGTGCTGTCAGAATCCGCACTCTGCAGAGGGTGCGCACAAGATGATGAGACCATTGATCATATCCTTTACGATTGCTCGACGCTCTCATTAATTAGAAGATTTGTGTTCGGCGAGTGTCGGCTAACACCGGCCGATATAAGAGAATCTTTGTGATGTTGTCAACTACATTAAATCTGTAGGCTGGCTTACGAGCTAGGAGGTACCTATCATCTCAGGAGGATGCACAATAAGCCTAATGAGACCTAAGTGGCGTGGGGGGTAACCCCTCCACACGTTACAGATACAGAAATGACTGTACAAACCATAAAGGCCTAAAATGAAGTGAGAAAACTAAAGAAAACTTTCAGTTAAATTACATTTTCGATATAGAGTCGCTGGCGTGATGGCGTTGGTGTATAAGCTGTATTTTTAAAATGGTGAAGTCAAGTTCATAACAATGTTGCCAAATACAAAAGTTGAAATTTGCACGGATTATTTGTCGAATAAAAATGAGGGGTGTATATGGGAAAGATAGAAGGAAAGTTGTAGCCTGGTTCGATGTTTTAACTAAAAGTTCTGTTTGCAAAGGTTTTAAAAAGGTTTCTAAAAAAATGTTTTTAATAAGTTTGACAAAGTTAAACAAATATAATACTGAATGAACACGTAACGTCAGTATAGTGCAGTGAATAAAAATAAGTAACAACTGACAATTTTACAGTTGATAAATACCTAATAAATTGATGTATTAATAAAATTGAAGCTTAAGAAAGACTAAATTGTCGTTGGGATCTAATAATATTCACTATTTACAGAAGAAACATAATTATTATTCATGGCATTTTTAATTTCGAATATTTCCAAATGGTCCAATTTACCTATTTAGAGTATTATCGTGCCCTCTCTGTCATATTTGGGCCTTTTATGGCCTACACTTTTCACATTATCAAGAATATTCAGTGAAACAAGTAACCTCTGTAACTCCCCATTGATACAGCTACGGAGAATCTTAGACGGACGTTCTAGATTGTTCTGTAATGATGAGAAGCTCCTAGAGACATCGATTTTCCTTCGCACACCAGTCTATAAAACGGTTTGCATTTGGGTGATCTCAACTTAAGATATCATTTAGTACACATAAATGTGGTTTATTTAAATTAGTCTATAGGTAAATATCCATATAAATTAGTAGAAATAAGTATAAATATAAATCTTAGTGTAAATAAATTACATAATAAACTATTTAAAACAAATTTACGTTACATAATAAACAGATTTAAAAGAGGAACATAGAACGTATAAAAGTATCTCCAAACTAAGCGAGTAAAAGGTATAGACGAACAGCAGAAAATTAAAGTAACATTCGAAGGGCCATTTGAAGGGCGGCTACTGCGGTTTACTACTTCATTTCGACATTGGAACATAAAAACATACTAACGTTATTAATCCTGTTTTTGGTATTCCGTATACGGCTTTGTTTATCCGTTCCGCATCATCAGCATAATTTCTGTACCTACTTGGTCGGGCCACCATACGTTCAGCAACAGAAATTCAATCAATGCATTCAGAACGTAATGAGGTTAGAGTGGGAATGTTTGTTGCACCGTAATAGACTGACGATGTTAATACAGTTATTCGATACGGCATTCCCTTCACGTTCCGGCACAACACGAGGCGCCACTCAATAAATTCACGACGCTACCGAATATGCTCAAAGTACTAGCTGGTGTTTAACCCGTTATTGCAGTTGACGACCATCACAATTTTGGTTGATAGGATTTGAAGTAATTGAGAATAAGACGGTAGTAAATACTTGAATGTTACCGCTAATATTTGCGAAGGACAAAAATATCTGTTTTTGCTTGCCCAACTTATTTATATTATTTTGTGTTGTAACCGCCCACCCCCGGTCGCTTCTTAATTATTTAAAAGCGTGTATTTAATTACCTCCCTCCCCTTTGTGAAAATCAACGTAATTCATACTTACTGTACTTGGCATTTTTTCTATAGTAGTAGTGATCGCCTAGTTAATTAATTGATAATTTATATACCCACGTTGTGATAATGTTAACTAAGATAAACCAGGACTCGATGCAAAGTTTGATACAAATTTATGAATAAAATTAAACTCAAATTATACTTAACTTATGTATTTTATCCTCAAATAAATAGATATACTTAAATTAGGGAATCAGAAATTATATTTCTCACCGAGACCTCACATGTGTCCTGCTCAAATAAACATGCCACTTGCCATTAAATATATACTGTTGAAGAATTCTTGAGGATATACAGTAGACGTCCTCAGAATTGCACTATTTTTAATAATTATTTGTTTCGTCATTTCTTTTTATATAGGTGCACTTAATGAGATACAGTCGTTGCAATAACAGACGTATATCCCTTATGTTTCAGCTTCACCTAGGGTAGTCCTACTAGAATAGTGCCGGATCAATACCAGCGAACTATCGCTTATGTTCAGGCCTACCTACGGTGCGAAGATTGAGAGATAATTATTTTGGATAGTTCAACCCTGCATATTTGTGTAAGATGCGAGTCTAGCCGTCCGAAGTGTCATTTACCCCAACTAGCTGAGCAGTTAATTAGGTAGCTATTAGCGAGGGTGTATCGGTACTTTGATAGACCAAATTTTAAAATAATTTTAGGCTGGTATAATAAAACGGCAATTGCATACTGGGACGTGTCCATCTAGCGGTCTAAATGGGTACGTTATTGAACAATGCATCTCTATAATATTGAATAACATAATATTAAACATTTTTGAAATTATTAACTCACTATCTATTTCTGACGTTTTTATATTGTTGTTGATTTAGAAATATTGAAGGGGCATCCAGACGTAGAACACCGGGACGTATAGCACCGGGACGTTGAACGTCGGAATGTAGACTGGCCCGGCGTAAAAAGGGTGTCGGGACGCAACGTTGGGCGCCAAAAATATAACATTAATTTCGTTATATTAAGTCTTAGGTTGTCCCAGATGTCAACCATGTGGCTCCAGTTTACTCAAGTGGAGATGGGAGTGGGTAATCACAAAAATCTGGGATTAATAATAAATGGTCAAAAAAAAGAAGGGGGCGCCAATTAGATTTAGTTGAGCCTTAAATAACTTAGAACGATCCTATCTTAAATCTAATAAAAGATGAGGGAATAAAAGACAGCCTTAACTTACACTTCTTTATTTTATAAAAATAAATCAACTATTTTTCCCACTTCAAATAAGCAAATAAGCTGTATTACAAAACAATCAAAGTATCAACCCGTTAAATGGACTGACTAACTGATTTACCCCTTATTCTTTACAAAGGTATAAAATTAACAAAATAAACCTGTTAAAAAAGAAAGTGTGACACAAAACCTATGATATAGGTATTTCCCTA